GGGGGGGGGGGGGGGGGGGGCCCCCCCCCCCCGGGGGGGGGGGGGGGGGGGGGGGGGGGGGGGGAGGCATGTAGCTTTAGTCGACATTCGACATTTTCGTCAGTTCAACCCCCATGTGTAGAACCTCTCCGCCCTCGTGCGCCCGTCTTCCTGCGCCCGTCTACTCCTGTTCTCAAGATTACCACTGCTGTTTGTCTTGACTGCTGGTGTACACTACAAGAGAAACGTAGAGAGCAGTAGTGGTCCCCCGCGAATGGGTTTTTTCGTGCACACCCCGGACCTGAACGCTAAACAACAGCACAAACAAGAAGGCGTCTTCACCTGTCGTCACAGGCCCCCACGCTCATTTGTTGTTGTTGCACCCACCCACCCTCTTTGCGATGCCTCCCCCCCCGCCCTCGCAGGACGAGAACGGCCAAATCCCGGAAACACACTCCATTTCCGCCGGGCTGGACTACCCGGGGGTTGGGCCCGAGCACTCGTGGCTCAAGGACAGCGGGCGGGCGGAGTACGCGGCCGTCACGGACGTGCAGGCGCTCGAGGCCCTACAGCTGTTGGCGCGCACCGAGGGGCTCATCTCCGCGTTGGAGCCCTCTCACGCCGTGTATCACGCCATGCAGGTGTGTGCCTGCTTTGCGTGTTTTTGGTGTGCTACTCACCAACACGCTGTACGTATGTAGCCCTACCCCCGCTCCGGTTTAGTGAGCGTGAATTTAGTTGGGCTTTTTGTTGTGGTGTAGATCGTTGGTTTGGCTCGGTCCAGGGGTTCTCCTTGGAGTTTAGTGAAGTTTGTTGCCACGCGTCGTGTTTGGATGGATGGACGGATCACGTGGTTTCCCCCCTCACATCTGGTGCCTTGTTTGCAGATGTGTTTGCTTCGAAAAAGTGATGTATGTCCATCCCCCCCCCTTCCCCCGATTGCAAAACTCGACCTCAAAAACCACGCGTTTTGATCACAGGTTTATATCTGCGTTTGAAAAGAAATCAACATGAGGGAAGGGGTATTACTAACGACCAAAAATCACGGAACATTCACGGAAGCGTGTTTCCTTGAACCTATTTGGAAGCGTTTTTCCCCGAAAACTTGAAAAGAAGGAGCCGGGATTTTTTGGGGCTTGCTACGTTCACGGATCCGTGTTTTTGACAGAAGCATCGGACAAGCGCAGCGCGGGTGCTGTAACATCACTGAGAACGCTAGAAAGACCTGCCAGACTCACGTCCAGGTCTGTCGTGGAGATGGACAAGCGGCAGAAGCGGCGTTCAGTCCGTTCTTGGTCCAAAACTAGACATTGCGTTGTGCTCTCCTCTTCAACTGCTGCTGTTGGTGCTGAGGAATTTATTTCAAACACACATACAAACACGGCAACAGTAGAACAAGCACAGCAGCAGCACCAAGACCTCCAACGCGCTGATTCCTTCGGTTCGGCTGCTAAATGATACCATCTCCCGGCGCCGTGCTTGCTTCGTGGGTATTGGGTGCTTGGGTGTTGCTCAATAGGGTGTGTGAGTTGTGTGCCACCTCACCGAAATGCCGTTGGCAAAAATGCGGCGATATGTACTTTATTTGGCGATGACATCACGAGTGGAACAAGCGAAAAAAAGTCGGGTTATCTTTTCACCGTTCCGTGGAAAATCGCACGACTTTTCCCTTGCGTTAATAACAAGCCTTACACGATGTATGCATACATGGGCTCGAGTTTTTTTTTTGCGGTGACGATCCGTGGACACAGCTTGGCGGTGGTCCTTCATCATTCATCCCTGATTCGCTTCGCCTTTGGTTTTGCCCCCACTGCTGCTACTGCTTATGTTGCTGGCAGATGGCGAAGGGGATGTCTCCGGACCAGATAGTCCTGGTTAACCTTTGCGGCAGAGGGGATAAGGACATGCACACGGTCGCCAAGTACCTCGGGGAGGATGTTTGACGATTTGCCAGTGACTTTTTTTTGGGGGGGGGGG